GCCAAATCGTTATATGAGATATTCTCCAGATAAATATAGTACATGTTCTAGTATTCGTCGAAAATGTTCAGTATTTGACCCAAGTGATTTACCTGAAGGATGTTCATGTCGTTATTTACCATCAGCTAAAGGTTCACAATGGTTAACAATTTTAGCAGCTGTTTTTCTTATTCTCGGTTTACTTTTACTTTATTTAAAAACAATAGCATCACCACAAAATGGTTCGTATATTTTGAATTTTATATAAAATATAATTTTTTTTTTTGATTTTCTAGATAGTGCACTTTTTGTACTTACTTATGGACCATATATATGTTTTCTATTAACATTACTTTTAATGATAACAGGATTAATTCTTATTGGTGCATGTAAGTTATTAAGAATAAACAAAATTTTGTTGATTTAGGTTTGTTTTTTTTTTTTTTTTTTTATAATAAAATAAAGATCTTCGACGAGATACATATGAAGATTATTCATTTCCATTAGACAGTATATCAAATAATACTCAAGACAGACAATCTTATGATTTACATAGTCTTCGTACTTATGCTAAATATCATGGTAATATAAAAAAAGAAACAAGAAATTCTTTAATATTTCATATTTTCTGTTTGTTTTTCTTAGAAGCAACATTTTCTCATGAACGTTATGTTGCAGCTGAAGATGAATTAATTAAAGATGCAAATTCACATTTTCATACAACAATTGGATGGGCAACTGGCTATGAAATAATTGCAGCCACATTGATGTTTATTGTTACTGCATTGTCATTTTTACTTATGATAGCATCAAGATCAGAAGATATTTAAATTTGAAATTATATAGTCAAATGTCATGTCTTCATATTGAAGGATGCTAACAATCATTTTACACTGCTTTTGTCTTTGTCGTCTATTCTTCTTTTTCGATTTAGTTTTTGCTCATATAGCATAGAACTATGTCCTTCGCTTTTTCATTATATATTATTTTCCTTGCTTTTTGATGCTTATTAAATGTCATTGGCGTGTTAAAGTATGTAATAGATTTTTAAAAGTTTCTTTTTTTAGCCTTATTTTTTTTCTCTCACTCATTGAAATGAGATGGAAAGAAAAAAAAAATAAGATGTTAAAAGTACTATTTCATACGAAGAATATTTATTTTATTTATATACTACGAAAAATACTTCGTATAAGATTATGATGACTAAATAACGGATAGCAAATTTCATATTCTTTTTTTTTTTGAGATATTTTATATATCTTATTCTATATTGAACTTAATTATCATGTGATAGTTTTATCATTATCTAGTATAATCTATGTCAAAATATCAAATGTTTTATTAAATCCTCTTATTTAGATTTAAGATATATATATTCGACTACAAAAAAAAAAAAAAAAAGAATATATTTTTGTTTAGTAAACACATTAAATATCATTTAGATTGATGATATCGAAACAATAATGAGAATTTAATTAAAAATTTTTTTTTTTGTTTTTGTTTCGATCAAAGTTCATCATATGACTTATATCTAATGAGAAAAGTCAATCAATCATACTTTTTTTTTTTTTTTGCTTTTGTATCGATAATATGATGATAACACGTATCATAATTGTTAATTATAATAATTTATTTTATTAATGGAAAAAAATAATTTCGAAGAAAGTAAATAAATACAGAGAAAATTTCATTATATGACTGCTTTTATAATCAAATTACAAAATTTGAACATGTCACGATCTGTTAAGAATAATAATATTTTCTAAAAATGGAAACTATCATTCGCTTTTCTAGTGTTTGTCATATATAATTATACGTCAACGATGTTGATCTCATTGGTTGCTTAGAAAAGATTTAATATATATATATATATTAGACAAATTATGATTTTCTATATATTTCATTTCATTCTTTTCGATTGTGTATTTTGCTAACAAACTTATTAACAATTAAATGAGTTTAATTCAAACAAAATAAAGATAATAAATACAAAATTAATTTTTCTTTTAAAATAATTTTACTACATCATTGTTCGTTATTTAACTAAATGTTAAAATGAGTTGAATATCGTATAATATGATATTTTTTTTTTTTTGAAATCATTTTAATTTCTTTTAGTTTTGATCAATAATCTTGTATCTCTAATTTTCGATACATGATAATAGATATTCTTATAAAATTTACAAGCAATTGAATGTTATAATTGTTGAGAACTCTTGTTTGATACGATATCGTTTTTTTTCTTTTATGATCAAATAGAATGCTATCTATGAATTAAGATACTCATGATTGATTCACTTAATGTGATTCTTCTTTAATTTCAAATCTAATCTTTTGATGTATTGTAAATAGTTCTGAAATAATTAACATAGTTTAATTATAAGAATCATACCAAACATAATCATTAAACAAGTAGAAATTATTCAAAATCAAAACAAAATTATAGATAATTACTTATATACATGTTCATGTAACCTATCGACACAATATCAATCATTTTTCAATACTCTCTCAAAAAAGATAAACTATAAACAAAAACGATTGTAATAACTACAATTAAATAACAATTGATTCATGATCGATAAAAAACTTCTAATGGAAATTTGCGAACTACACATATTACAACGATTGGCACATACTAAAATAATTATATATGAGAAACACATCAAAAGAAATATGGATGATATAACAACGGATTATGCATATAATCAAGGATGTACTGACAGAATTGATATGATCGAGTGTATTAACGAAAGAGATTATAGGTCAGTTAGTGATAATCAAATCCAAAACAGATGCTATAAGAAAATAGACTAAATACAAATTTATTGAACATTGTTTTTGTAATAAAATTCTAATCGATATAATATTATTTGACTTGCTAAATATGTTGATTGTAGGATAATATACAGTGAATGAAAAGAGAACAAGTATAACTGCAATCGGTATAATAATACAACCTAAGGCATGTGTATATAAAGTAAACAGAGAGATAAAAGATACTATTGAAGATTGACAAGAGAAAAAGAACATGGAGTAAAAGTAATGAGATCAGTCAGAATTCTTTTCAATAGAAAAGAAATGAGACATCGTCAGGCATAGTAAATATTGGTTTGATCTATTTCTTTTTCCAATATTCTTTGATGTAATTATTACAAGAATCATTTTAAAAAAAACCGTAATCGGTAAATATAAGATCGTGTCCTTCTGAATGATAACAAAAAAAGCACGTAGATCAACAGGCATCACTATTTAATTATCAGAAATGTATATGATCATCCATCAAATATAAACTCGTCATATGAAATAAACCCAAACAGACTTTCATTTGCTCAAATGCTCAAATATATATATATATATATATTATCATATACTGACGAGGAAATGTTTTCAACTGACCAATTGCTTTTGAATTCGAGTTCTGTACATAAGATAGACTTCAATGAGATATGAAAAAATTTCAAAAGAATAAATCGTCTTAGGTCTTCTGTTCAGAGTTATAAGCATTTTACTAGAATTTTAGCCGCTGGTATGGTATATATCAACTAATCGAATGACAATATTTTGACTTGAGATATTCTTCCGAGATATAAAAGTCTCAAACAACAAAATTCTAGCATTTTACGTGGAATATGAGTGATTCTTAAGATTTTCATATCTCGGGAAAGAATCTCAGGTCGAAATATCGTCACTCGATTCATTGACATATATCATGCTAGAGGCTAAAATTCTAGTACAATGATTATAACTCTGGATAGAAGGCCTAAGAGGATTTACTTTGTGGAGTTTTTCATATTCCATCGGAGTCTACCTTATGCAAAGAGTTGAAATTCAAAAACGATTGGTCAGTTGAAAATGTCCTCTTGTGTGAGTTTAACAAAGAATAATTATCATAAATTGCTTAAGAACAATCAATGTGACATTCAATAAACTAATGATAACGAAGGCTGCGCCTCATTAATTCGTTCCATACACATCGACATACAGAGTTTCTCAGTATAATGCAATACAAAGTATATATAAATTGGAACTGTAAGAACATAATCAGAAAGATTAAAAGAATTAAAAGATTTATAGTGGAAATTATGTAACTAAATTCACATTAGTCACGTATATCTGAAGAAGAAAAGAGAGAAGCGATATTCCATCATGTCAAAACGTGTTAGAACTATGCACTACGATTACATTATGATGGCTCGGTCTCAATTTTGATTGATGCATTAAGACTACAAGTGGAAACTCATGCACATTTAATTGGACTTTAATACTGTATTAATTCTGTAGTGTGGACAAGACCATAGTGATCTACTGATTGATGCTTCGAATGCCTTTGGTTTTTTTTAGTGGTTATTCCTAAATGCCCTATGTGATGAGTTTTTTACAACTGGGTCGTCTATTAAGATTTATATATATTCAGAATCAGCATAACTTGAATAGTATTTCTGCTAAATATTATGCTGACCATTTTTAAAAAACTTGACAGATGACGCTCTGTCCTAATTATCTTTGGCAAAGAAAATGTTATATAATTAAAGGACATGAAAATTTTTCACCTTTTAGAACTCATGGATTTCAATCGAGGTCACGTTCCTGCCTCAATGTGAATGCGCCTAAGCCGTCTGTATTAGTCACATCAACTGTTTTGCTTTAGTTTTCAAGTTTGTTTATTTATGATACCAACAAAATAGAGCAAATAAAAATGACCACGATGAAAATATGGTATAACGACGTTATAATCTATGCTTAATTTTTTGATGAAATTATCTTTTTATTTGACCTGAAACAAATACATGAATGAATTCGTGTTAGAAATGGTGAAATGAGTCATTCGCATCAGTTTATAGATCATAACATGTCAATCGGTAGTGAGTGAGCCATACATTGGAAAGAAAAAAGACAAGTTGATATTTTCCAACAATGTTATTACGTAAGTTAACAACGATGACAAAACATTATCGCTGTCAAATACCTTTAAACAGAACAGGAAAAAAAATTGAAACACTACACAAAAATTTGATCTTATGGAAGGAAGTGAATCAATGAATTCCAATGATACGAAAGTAAGTCAATATTAGATATACATGATTTCGAATGATGAAGATCTACATAGTTCCAAACGATTGCTACGAAGTCCCTCATAGATGTTGAAAGTCTGGGTAAGTTATGAATCATACTTTCTTTGTTCTTGAGATAATATGAAAAACGGAAATTTTTTTTTTGTGTGCCTATCAAATAATTTCATTCTGTTTTATGTATTGAATCATGTAGAAATTGTTGTGAAAGATTGTTTTCAATCGATTCTCAAGAAGGTTTTTGTGCTAAACAACATGGAAATGTTGACAAATAAAAAACTTTACATATCATTATAGAAAAAGACGATTTTTTGTAAATAATTTGAAAACAAAAAAAAAAATAAAAGAATAAGAAGACTTCTATTTTGTTCTTATCAGATAAAGAATTTAAATTTAATAGGACTCCTTTAAATTTCTATCGATGTATCTTTTCTAAACTTATCTTTCAATTATTGCTCAATATTTATTTTTCATCAAATATACAAAAATATTTTCATACGAATAAACGAATTTAATCCATAAATTAGATGCAAATGAAATTCCATCGGCTGATAAAGTGCAAAAAATGATAGAACGCTTCTCATGCACCTTTGCCGAACGATATCCAGGACCAGGACCAGTATCATTCATTGGTCCGCTCGACGAAGCTTTGAAACATTCTTTATTTGAATCCACATCTGTAAATTATTTTTTCTTTTTATATATACGAAAAAAAAAAAGAAGTGAACTATGTTCATTTGCTCATAGCCTTGTCCACTTATTCTCTACATACATCATGATCAAAGTATAGCTGTGAATATTTTCTGTCGATATGTCTTATGTGTAGACATGATCACTGATTACTTGGCTGAACAATTTCTAGTTTGGATATGGGATCGAACACGAGATGTCGATTATTCTATGTGAGTATTATTGTTTTAACTACAAACAGCAATATGATTTTTACATGTCGATCTACCAAGTTGTTTTGAACACACAAAATTATTTCATGAAAACAAAGAGCATGAAATTTTAATTTTTAGGCTATTGTCAATGCTATTCAAATATACAACTAAAGAAGTGACAACAACAATAGCTTCATATCCAATTGATGCATATCCATTACTCGTCTGTCTTTCTATTCATCAAAATCAAATTGATATAGTGTCTACCATCAAAGGTACGATGTCGAGTGAAGAAACATTTGTTAATCTTGTAGAAACACGTAAAAAATTCGATCGTCGAGCTGAACTTCCACATTCGAATATTTGTCGTACCAATATTATTTCAAATGAAAATCAGTCAATGCTAGCAAATGTCTTAAAACCACACACTAAATATTCACCTATTACAGAAAGAATAACTAGAGATTTTAAGAATTCATTTATGCAGATTATTCGTATTGACCAAGTTGAAAACGAAACATGGTTGAAAGAATATCTTGAACAGAAGAAACTTATCGATGTTCGACTTGGTCATGATAACAGTGAACAGTATCTTTTTCATGGATGTTCACGTTCAGCTGCTGAAAATATTATTCAACACGGTTTTGATCATAAACTTATTGGCATGCACGGTAATATATTTGAGTTGGATAGCAATTACATTTAATTGAATTATTTTAGGCGTATTATACGGCTATGGATTCTATTTTTCTTCCGATCATCGTATTAGTCATATGTATGCAACTCAGGATCGGTTAACTCATAACGAAAGAACTATGCTTCTATGTCGGGTACTTATTGGTCGAACGTGTCTAGGTAATTCAACCATGAGAATGTGTCCAACTGGATATGATTCAACAACAAACGCATCAAATATATATGTTGTATATTCGAATCAACAAATCTTCCCTGTATATGTCATCACTTATACAGAAAAACTTAATGCTAACGAAAACGATTTCGATGCTTATAGAAATAAGGCATTGAGTACAAGACTCTGTAACTTATTATGATGTAACTAGTGTATATAATCGATAGACCATCTTTAAGTCAAAGTATAAAATATCTGAATTATATGGATTAAAACTTATTTCGAAACAATTCATATTACTCTTTTTGTTTTTTGACAAAATTAAAATTGTAATAGATGAAATAGGCAATTTAAAATTCTACAAGAACTATACTTGAATTCGAAAATATGTCAATATAAGAAAATATAATCAAACAGATGTTAATGTGTATTTAATTGACTGAAATACTTTTATACAAAAGATATCCCATCATAATTGATAATAAATTATCACTGACATTTTTTTCTTCATATAGAAGATTTAAAATTTTTATTATATATATATATATGTATTGAACTAAGATCTTTAATTTTCTAAAGTTGTAGCATTCTCATTGAATTCTTGCTTCCAAGTTCCTACCATTTTCCGGGTGCAAACGATCCGCATTTCTTGTTCTGAGTACAATTAGAAAAACAAATTGCAAAAAAAAACAAAACGAAGAAAATCTTCAAAAGAATACAGCTATACATAATAAAATATATATATATATACATCTCACATAGTTATGAATTTAACTTTACTTACAAGTGATTTTTTCATATGTTTTCAATTACGAAATGTTTATAGACATATAATCGTTGGTTATTATCTGAGATTTTTTCTTCAATCTTTCATGTATGTAATATAGTTCTAAAATTCTCTTGAAATGATATAAATTAAAGTTAATTGATTTCGTCTTTTTTCTTGTCATGTAAAATAAATAATTAACGATTTCAATTATTATTTATGATGATAAAATTATTGATATATTGATTCCATTCGTATTAACTGATTATGTAAAAAGAAAATTATAACATGAAAAATTCTATAAATTTCAAATTTAATCAGAATTTGACTAGAATTTTGGTATCAGAATAAAAATTAGTATTTGTTAAATGGTCAATACATTTTTCAAAGTTATAGATAGTATTTTTTTTCTGACATAATGTCAAATCTAAGCTTTGAATGTTATTTTTTTAATTTGATAATTAAATTCTTTATCTATTTTGAGATACAAAAACGTATAAACATATACAATATTTTATTTAAATGATTCTTTATTTAACAAACAAAATTAACATCAAATCAATGATATAACCTTGAAAATTTTATTTTTATCTTGCTTATTAATACTACATTGCATGGAGAAAAATAACACTAGTATCGTATCTAACATGTTAAAAATACTATGCGGAATAGTAAATGACATTCAGATATTTGTCGATATACGAAAATACATTGATTTTGTAAAAAATGTCAAAACAAATGCAATTTTTCTTATTACATAGTAGAAAAACATTAATCATTATCTATTTCTAGCAAATCTATTTTGATAGGTAACTAATAAATACAAATAGCTATTTTTAACGTTTCTCTTTTTTTTATAAAGTAAAGCTGTATAATAAAAGTATGATTAACAAATCGATAGAGCCTATTATAGACTATTCCAATCAATGTATATATTCTAGATAGAAAATTCTTTTCACATGTCTGTAACTCTGCATGTAATCAAATATTTAGTTGAATTGAGAACAAGAAAAACAATGAACCTAGATGTGTGATCTTTTGAGTTGTTTGTGTACATCATCACATTAATTTATGATTGACAAAGGCCAGCAAATCTATACTGTCCTTCATATGATATCATACTAGTGTTGATAGTTTAATTTATAGAGAGCATATGTTTATATAACAGTCTCATACCTATGTGCAAAGTATTAGAAATAATTCATCACTTATTGAAACTTTTATTTTTCTCTGGAAAAAAGAAAACATTCTTAATAATTTTTTTCTATTGTTTTATTATTTTGTAGACGAGAGAAAGTTATACAATGTATGTCAAAATCAAGACTGGAAAAATAATTATACATAGATCGTATTTGATAAATAACTTTTAATCAATCTATTGAAATATAATATGTAAATGGTTGGTTAGTCTTTTTCATTTTTGTCAATATTCTATCTGATGATTTATTACAAGAGAATTTTAACAATTTCTTTTTTTGTCATCTTAAAAAGTTCAAGCTTGATAATGCTGCTATTTTAACAGTTAATGAATGGAAAAATTTATGAAAAAGACAATTTCGTCTTTGATTTTTGTTTTCTTCAAAAATAAAATAATTATTAAAGTAGAATATTTGTTCATGATGAACAATGTATATATGAAATCATCAAAATTTTATTATGCAAGTTTATTTGAAGAGCAAAACTAAAATTTCATCAGAAAATATAGGTTACTTGATTAGAAAACTGTACATTAAATCAATTCAAATGAAGTTGCATTTCAATACAAAAAAAAACAAGGAGATATACAGTAGATGTGATATATTAATCTCTTGGTATTCCACGTACACATAAATGAGGAAAGAGTTGTTGAAAATAAGCTACTGCTGATGGAGTCATTTTATCATCTGGTTTATAAGTACCAGAATTATTCTTAATAAGTAATGTTTCACCATTATCTGTTTTTCTTAATTCACCAGCAAATCGTACATTAGAAGAACGTTTAGCAAGAGCAACATGTTTAGATAATAATCGATATGGATATTTGAATTTTGAATGTGGAATTCGAGTAAATACAAGACGACCATCTCCAAGTAAAGTAAAATTATATCTTTGATCAATTGGAAGTTCGTCAATTAATGATTTTTCATTAGCTGATCGATATTTAGGACGAGGTTGTACTTGAGATCTTCGTATAATCCAAATAATTGGTTTAGCACAAAGTGTTTTATGTTTTATATAATCATTTAATGTTGGAAGTGGAGAAGGATGTAAACAAATAGGTAAATAATCATTTACATCAATAGATGATTGAGAAATTTCCAAAATAGGATTTTCACCCCATATTATTCTAAATAAACGACCGAAAAAAATTGTCGGTGGATAAACACATTCTACAATAGGAGGTCCAACTAGATAGAATTCAATTAGATATTTTTCTTGATTATTCGATTATATCCAACCTTTTATATTGTCATAATGTTTTCCTCGACGAGGCGGAATTGACGGCATTTGACGCCAATCAGTATTATAAATTGGTTTAGGCTGAATACAACAGACAATGAATTATATTCATATATAGAAATAAAATGATAATATTTTCTTACTCGATCTGGACCAGGTACAGCAAAATCATCTTCTCTTGTCAATTGATCTCGTATGCTCGATTTCGAGTTCAAGAGATCACATAAACAATACTTTGAAATCAATGGTGCTAATATGATTAAGATGAATATCAATAAATATATGTAAAAATTTTTACTAGTTAATCCGTTAATATTATTCGATAAAAAAAGTAAAAAAATAATTCAGTTAAAATTGATATTTATTACATTCAGTGTCAACAAAAAAACAAAAAGGAAAATAATATGAAAACAAATGTATTAAGTCTAAAGGGTTTACGTAGTCTATTATTGTATCTCATCATTTATTATGTTTATAAATGCGCGGCTTTTTCTCGTACATCGACATACGATGAAAAGTGTGCTTAACCCTTTCCGGCCGGATCCTAGAAGCAGTAAAGAAAAAAAATTTTTTGCCACATATTTTTTATGATTGAGCTATGGAGATAACTAGGTTTCAATACGGGGAGCAGATGTATAAGACATAAGCAGATACCAGGATGTTGCCTTTTGGCAACA